TAGTTCTGCTAGTGCTGCTTTTTGTCTCCACATTCTACATTTTAATTGTTAGGAATGAGATGTGAACTTTCAGTGTTCTGATGTTGTTGTACTCGTGTGCACATCTGTATTTTAGAGGAGTGTATTCCGATATTATGCAGAATGTAGCTGGATATTTACTCTGATAGATCCTACAGGGAAGTTTAAAAAAAGGATTTCAATGATTAAGAACTGCTAACCTGCTCTTCAGTGTATTAAACTAATCCCAGAGCAGAGACTTGACTTTAAAAGTCACTTTTATTCAACGCTGCAGTTCTTTGACTGTCTGCCGCCACCCGAGTTTGCAGTAATCGGACTAAAAGGAAGCCTTTCTCTTCACTTTCAGCAATAATGCCTACAAATTACACTTAAGAGGTATTAACTGCCTACGCTAATGCCTTCTTTTAATAAGAGATTATTCTGTGTTTTTTTTCCCCACTACTGGGGCAGAGCCAAGACTCAGGAGTAGTAGTGATGAGTATTTTTTTTTTTCTAGCCCCAAGGATTAGTTTGATCTGTGGCTCTATAGCTGCCAGATAACAATCTTGTAGCTCCACAGAATCAGTAGTTCTGGCTTGTTTTAGGATGAGAACCTTGTGTTTTTAAAGGCTTAGTCAGCAGGGTTTTTATACAGCAGGGAAAGGTGAGAGATGAGGCTAAAAGCCATTTCTCAGGATGAGAATTTGACTTGCAGTAAAAGTGGTTTCTTTGTCTTTTTCCTTCTGCTGCACAGTTTGTGAAATTTAGCACAAACACCTGAAACCAAGTTATGATGGTGTGATAACCGATGGTTTTCTTTTGGCTTTGTATCAATGGTTATTTTTTTATTATTCAGTTATGAATACTTGATTGTATATTGATTGGTCTGGAAAATCAGACATTTCCATAGTCAAAGCTGACATCCTGAGATGGCTTGTTTGGTCTAACCAGCAGATTAAATGCCAAAATGTTCAGTTTAATTCCATATAAGACAAAGACAAGAAGGAAATGTTTGCCTTTTGAGGGTCTTACCGTTTTGCTTGAAAAATGAGCGTCAGTCCATAAAAGCAGGTGCAGATACATTTTTCTGTTGATCAACAAATTCATTAATCAACAGATTGTTTCAGCTCTACTTTCTATCTGTGGGACTTGAAGATTGCTGTGGTGTCTTGTAATCCTGTTTGTGTTGGGCCAAGTAGGACATGTTTAATAGAGATTTAGCCTGGTGGTGTTGTAGTACTCGATTCCTGGACTCGGGCTCAAATCCGTTTGAGTTATTATTTTTACATATCAAATCACTGAGTAATGTGGTGATGCAGTACATTCTTAGAAAGTTTGGAATTTCAGTGGTTATGATCATTTTATTTGCAGCATAAGCACCAAATAAGAAAATTCTAACAAGTAAATTCCTTTTAAAACGGTGAGAGGTGCATCAGTTGTGTTTAACGTAGACCTTGATCCCTTGGACTTGAATAACAGAGACTCAACTCGTACTCAGACGTAAGACTTGGACTCGAGGTTTAGTGACTTGACTACAACGCTGGCCTAGTATAACCTTCAGATGTTAAATCACGTTAATTGCCAGTATCGTACAGTAAAAGTTTTCACTAAGTGTATCTAGCTACTGTATTTAAATGTTGTACTGATGAAATCAAAGATTAAAGACAGTTGACTGATATTTCATCAATTTCAATTCAATACTCTGAACGAGAAGCCCTCTCTGGACAATGCAAATAAATATGCAAGGCCAATTCAACCTTGCCTCATTAAATAATTTTATTATTGTGACTGGGTGCCTTGTGCCGCTCGCTGTTTTAAAAAGGTTCTTCAGGCCACTCGCCTCCCTGAAGCCTTTCCCTCATCTTTGCCCTTTGAATGGCCAATGAGGATGCAAATGTTACTGTGTTTACTGCTGGCTTGTCAAGCTGGCACTTAGGTTTGGATGAGCTTGCCCTTTGATAACACCATATAAATGCAAAATTGTTACCCACAGCTATCAGTCGCATTTAAACAGTTTGCTGCCATGGCTGACTGAACGATTGTTCCTGTACACGTCCCAGCTGTTCTGCACAAAAACCTCTCTCGGATGTTTTGTTTATTAAATTCAGCGGCCACTAAAACGTATGTAATATACTTGCTTTAAGCCTTTGAAATGGATGTCCTGCACTTGGCTACAAAGGCTCTCGCCTCCTCTTTGTGTGCATGTGCCATTGTTGAGTTTGGTCCTCAGTGCACATCAATGCAAGCAGACAGCCGTTCACCTCTAGTGTGCAATTGTGCAACCTGGAAAAACTAAGGTGAGAGAAAGGAAGGGAGCGTGTGTCAAAACAAATCCTCCAGGTGCTGTTTTTCATCTTCCTTTAACTTTCTTCTAAAGAAAGTTCCTGTGTGTATTCTACCAGCTATAGCCTGGTGCAAGACACACACACACACACACACACACACACACTACCTGAAAAGCTGAATGCTCAAAGGGAATAAAACCCCTCGGTCACAAACAAGTTGCTGCTTTGTTCTAAAAGTGTCAGTTTTCCTAAACCAGCCTCACCTCTTTTTTTTTTTTTTGCTCCAACATAGAAATACACAGCACAGAAGGAAAGCTTTATTACGTTAGCTCCACCTGTCATTCATTCATTAACGGTAGTAGAAGAAATAATTCCAATCCTGATTCTTGTTTATCTCTGTAGTTGTTGCCAAGAGGGTGAAGTCAGCCTGAAATTCAAATGCATTTCAATGAGTCAGAGAGTTTCACCATAACGAAGTTGGTCATCTTGGCAGTTATCTCAAAAGCTGTGATTATCCCAATTAGAGTCGAGTGATAGAGGTGTGTGTGTGTGTGTGTGTGTGTGGTTGTTACCTTCAGCATGAGGGATGATAACAACCTGAAGGAGAGTAATTAGATAAATAAGGGATTTAAAACAGACAGGAGTCTCCAAAGCACAAATACCGTTGACATGATCGGACAGTTAATATGTGTGTGCGCACAGCTGTTTGTGATGAGTGGAAATCTTGAAATGGGTTGGCAAACACTGCTGCGGTGCCACTGCTTGTATGTTCGTGTGTGTGTGTATATGCAGTTGTGTACTGTCAACAGCAGTGATTGGGCAAATGCTCTGTGTTATTGTATCGACTTTCAGTGGTGTTGTAATGTGATTATTATGATTTGTACATTGCAAAGTTGTTCTTGCATAACATTTGATATCAAAACAACTTAAA